TTCTTGAGTTGGAGTCTCACTATTGTTCCGGCTATCCCTATCATTCTTTTGAGTTGGAGTCTCACTCTTATTCCAGCTATCCCTATCATTCTTAGAGCACTTCCTCACTTTCTGGTGCAGCAAGATATTCCAGGCACATGGTACATGGTACAACCTTCCCTGCACCCAACCCTAGAGTCAGCCATTTCTCCAAATCTTGGTTCTTTTTGGTGGAGGATGGTATTTAGACACTAGGATGTGGGCACTAGGTGTCCTCATTGTTACAGGTGTGTCTTTCTTCTAGGCCTACTCAGAGGATAGATCCAGGAAGAAAGAAAGAGAAAAGCAAGCACCCAGACAAACACATAAACATTTATATATTCACATGTACACATATATCTATATTTCTTTATATCTTTTTTTAAGAATAGAAAATATAGTTTATTTATAAAGTAAATTAGAGAGAGAGAGGAGACTCACCTCCCCAAGGTAAGGGAAGGGATCAAAGACAAGAAACTTGGTGGGCATAACTCTGAGATCACGTGAACACACCAGAGTTTAACAAAGCAATGACCTATTTATATCTTTTTAAGAATTTTTTAGCCAGGCTCGGTGGCTCAGCCTGTAATCCTGCGCCTTTGGGAGGCTGAGGTGAGTGGATTGCCTGAGCCCGTAGGTTTGAGAGCTGCCTGGGCAGCGAGACCTCATCTCTACAATAAAATTTAAAAAAAAAATCAGCTGGGCGTGGTAGTGCATGCCTGTAATTCCAGCTACTTGGAAGGCTGAGGCAGAAGGATCGCCGGAGCCCAGCAGGTCGAGGCTGTGGAGGCTGCAGTGGCCGAGAGTGGCCACTGCACTCCAGTCTGGGTGACAGAGTGAGACTCCAGCTCAAAAAAAAATAATAATAATAATAATAATGATAGGGATATATAGAAGGGACACAAGAACTAGCTTGAAGGGCCTCCCACTAGCCAAATCTGGTATAATTTGATTTTTTTTGGGGGGGGGGCTTAAATAACAAAATTTATTTTCTTATAGTTCTGGAGGTTTAAAGTCAAAGATCAAGGTGTCAGCATATTTGGTTTCTTCTAAGGCCTCTTTCCTTGGCTTGCAGATGACTGCCTTTGCACTGTGTCCTCATGTTGTCACCCCTTGGTTTGTGTATATTGTCTATATCCTAATTTCCTCATATAAAAACACCAGTCATACTGGATTAGGGTACACTCATATGACTTCATTTTACCTTTTTTTGGTATAAATGTAAGAGGTAAAAGTGCAGCTAATTATTTTAAAAATTACAGTAAGGAATCATAACTCATTGACTAAATAAGAATACATTAGTCCATACTGGTAGAAATGAGAAAAAAGAGAAAGCCCTTCTTGCAGGTATTTCTCTTTTTTTTTTTTTGAGTTGGAGTTTCACTCTGTCGCCCAGGCTGGAGTGCAGTGGCTGCTCCCGGCCACCAAAGCCCACAGCCTCGACCTGCTGGGCTCTGGTGATCCTTCCACCTAAGCCTTCCAAGTAGCCGGAACTACAGGTGTGCGCTACCATGCCCGGCAAATTTTTTAATTTATTGTAGAGATGAGGTCTCGCCAAGGTGCCCAAGTGGGTCTCGAACCCACGGACTCAGGCAATCCACTCACCTCAGCCTCCCAAGGCACGGGATTACAGGCTAAGCCACCGAGCCTGGCTTGAGAAAGCCCTTCTTTACAGTAACATACCAACTAATAAATACAGAAAGAAAGACAGAAAAACCATATCCTACAAAAATAACTGGCCTGGACTCTTCAAAAATATCAAGATTAAAAATGATAGCAAGCCGGGTTCAGTGGCTCAGCCTGTAATCCCGCGCTTTGGGAGCCTGAGGTGAGTGGATTGCCTGAGCCCGCGGGTTCGAGACCCGCCTGGGCAACTTGGCGAGACCTCATCTCTACAATAAAAGAAAAACAAAACAAAACAAAAAAAATGATAGCAAAAGGGTGAAGAGGTGTTCCAGATTAGCAGAGACTAAAATGGACATGACAACCACATGCAGTGTGTGGTCCTGGGCAGGGGGCAGGGCTAGGGGCAGTAGACACAGCTATCAAAGGTATTGTTGAGACAACTGACAAAGTACGGACCATGGCTTACAGAACAGTAGCACATCAAAGTGGCACTGCTTAAATTTAAGAATGGTACCATAGTTCTATATGAGAATATTTTTGTTCTTAGGAAAGATAAAATAGGAATAATACTTGAGTATATCAGGGTAAATGGACACTGGGAAACAATCTGTGAATGTGAGTAACAGGAGTTCCTTATACTAGTCCTGCAACTTTTCTGTAAGTTTGTAGTTATACCCAAAATATATTAAAAAATCCTCCCCAGTCACCGACTCCTCTGTTGTAGAGGCTGCTGGTAAGGGGTTACCTTGCATATTAAATGGAAATGCTCCAGTGAAGAAAAATGGCTGGAATGCTGGCGCCGGTCCTGCATATGTCCCATTTTGAGGCTCCAGAGACACCGGTGGCTTGGACGGGACAGAAGAGAACAGGGAGCGGCTCTGACTCACTGGTGGCTGACAAACAGGACCTGGCTTTGTGCTTTCTGGTGTTCGGAGTATGGCAGCAGGGGCAGACACATCACCATTCTGAACTAGGGCCAAAGAGGTGTGGTCCCGGGGAAAGGCCCCCAGCAGGGGAGGTTCCCCAGCGGGAAGCAATGGAGATGAGCCATCTGCAGGGGGTGATGCAGGAGGTGTGGAGGGGCCCCCGTTCTGTAGCTGGGCTGAGTCCTCTGCTGCGGGGGTGCAGATGAAAGGGAATGGGGAGTTGGCCAAGTAGTGGGGAACAAAGGGCAGTTCTGACTCCTTCTTCAGCTGGGGGTGGTTGTCATCATCATCGTCATCATCTTCCACTGAAAAAGAAGAAAACACAGAACACTGACACAGCCCTTTGAAAATTACTAAGGAAGAGCCGTGGAGTTCAAGACCAGCCTGGAAAACATAGCAAAACCTCATCTCTACAAAACATTTGTTTTTAAAAATTAGTCAGGCATGGGGGTGTGCACCCATAGTCCCAGCTACTTGGGAGGCTAAGGCAGAAGGAGCTCCTGAGCCAAGGAGGTTGAGGATGCAGTGAACTGTGATCAAGTCACTGCATTCTAGTCCAGGTGACAAAGTGAGACTGACTCAAAAAACAAAAAAAATTACCAAGGAAAATGTGTCTTTTAGAAGCTAGTGTCCTTTGGTCAGTGTTAACTGCCTCTTCAAGTCAAAAGGAAAAAGAATATTTCATTAGACTTATGATTACCATTTTTATCACTAAAATTTTCCAAAAAATAAAAATAAAACCTTACAATTCTGACCTCCCCAGAAACAACATGGAATTACGATGCTAGCACAGTAATTAGATTTTTAGAAACAGACCAGGTGTTTGAACGGCATTACTAATGCAGCCAATCATACCACAAGTCTTAAATCAGTTTGACAAAATCAAAAGCTCCCAAAACACAGACTCACCTCCCATAATCTTCCTGATTTCTCTCCTTGATGTTAATTGGACTGGCATTTCTCCTTTTGTGGTTAGAATCTCTTTGTCAGCTCCTGATTTTAACAGGTAAGAGACCACCTGACCATGGTTGCGTTTACATGCCCAGTGTAAACAAGTCCTATTCCAAAGAAAACAATAAAAGAATGATTTAAAAAGAGGAGAACTGATTTGGGATTTCAAATTCTAAACATCGGTAAATAAATACATATAAGCCTGTTAAGAGTTCAGTTGGAACCAGGAAACCAGGATGGTGATCCCAACATTTCTTTCTACAAAGCAGGTAATCAAAATATTTAATACACTTAAATTTTTTGTTTTTGTTTTTGAGTTGGAGTCTTACTCATCACCCAGGTTAGAGTGCAGTGGCATGCCCACAGCTACCCCAGCGTCTACCTGCTGGGCTCCAGTGATCCTTCCACCTCAGCCTTCCAAGTAGCCGGAACCACAGGCGCACACTACCACACCCGGCTAAGATTTATTTTTAAAGTTCCATTTCTGGTCCCTGGGGAAAAAAACGAATCTATCCTAGGAGTTTTAATTTCAACAGCAGGATGGCTGGCCAACTCCAATAATACGCAGAGTATTACTCTCTCAGTCACCTCAGTCTCTTTTTCTGTTACTTATGTTATTATTACTACAGCAGGTATTCTTGTCTGAATTGCAGGTGCTCACTCTTCCCTCTTTTCTTTCCTTCACATACACACACGATTTCCAAATTTTCATTTTTTAAAAAGTTGGCTTCTCTAGTTCTCTCCAGAAGGCTACAAACATATCCTTATCTGCGTAAACATAAGGCACTGCACACATACTTTAATTCCTAAGGTACTTAAAAAAAAAAAAGCATATCAACAACCAGAATTTTTCAAGAACAGACTCTTCCAACCTATCAGACCCATTTAAGTAAAACTAATCATTTAATATTGTACACATAGGAGGCTATTCTGCACACTCTGAGGGTCTATTATCTTAATGCTGTATAGAAATGTAATTAGCATGCCAGCAAAAACTCCATCTTAACAGAAATTGAAGGACTCAAAGCTACTAAATCCATCCCCAGGTACCAAAGCTGGATGCATATTATGGAAGAAAATACTTTCCCCCCGTTTTGAAATATCCTCCTTCAGCAACTCTCTAACTGAACTGAGATAAACAGCTTCAGAGCTTATAGCCAAATACAGATATGAGAAATAGAACATTATGTTCAATCATGAGGGTTAGGTCACCAACCTGGGAAATATAATTATCTGGAAAGTTTATTTGGTTCCAAGAAAAAGCTGATTTGCCCTGGGCACCTTAAATTAGTAATTTACAGATAGTATGTGTGGCTGGGAGTAATTCCATTGATGTTTCAGCATGACATTCTCCACTATTTTTCATTAGAATTAAATTATCCAGGTGACTTTAAGGTAAACTCTATGAAGAAATGACTGTCAATTTGGGAAAAATAAGAGAAGAGTCTGTTTTTGCTTTTTTTGCATTTTACGTTGGGAAGAGTCTTGACCCAGACTTCCAAATTCTAAGCTCCCTGTGATAAGGAAGTATCTGCCTGGCCCATACAGGTGCTTAATTAACATTTGCTGAAGGAATGAACCAAAGATGTGGTAGACATTGCTTGGAGTAGGACCCAATCTATCCTTGATTCTGGGCGAACCGCAAGCCTAGAGTATGTTTCTGTATGAACGTCTATGGTATAGGCTTGAAAAGTGAACAATTATAACGAAGTGATCCCTCAGAAATGAATGGCGCATGATAAGAAAAATATGCTCCCTTTTGGAAATAAAACACTCACTTGCTAGTAGTAAATCACTTGTTCATGGCAAGCTTGAGAAAGAAGGAGGTAATTTACTGCCAGTGGCTCTGAGAGACTCTGGGACAAACCAACTAGCCGAAACATCACCATGGAGAGGGCGTTAAGTCAACAAGCATGTCCCCCACAGCCTGTGCCCTTGTGACCATCATTTACAGTCTAGAGCTGTGTGTCTCTGGGTAGCTATAACTCAGAGCCACTGTAGCCAGGCAGTCTTTTCGACTTCATGAGGCATTGCACTTGCTCCTTAAAACCAAGGGTTATGCGTGACACTTGAATTACAATTGATGGAGGACTCTATCTTTGAACTTCAACTCTTCAAGCTTTGCATTTGCAATAAGAATATCCTATTAGAGCTGGGAACTATTTCAGACCAGAGGCACCGGGCATCATTCACCAACTGGGCTTCATTCATCAATGCTGAAACTGTGGTTACTGAGCAACCAAGAATTGAAAGCAGTTGCCCTTCTGCTTTTCCATGCTAGAGTAAGATTTTTGAGGGTAACCCTATATCCTATTTCCAGCATATTGCCACAGTTAACACAGATATACTTTACATGTTGGCCATTGTCCTAAAAGCTTTACATACATTAACTCATGTAAATCCTCAAAAAAACTCATGAGGTAAATACTACTGTCAAGATTACCCCATTTTATGGAAGAGGGAACAGACAGTCAGCAAATAAATAAGCAAAGCATGTAGTATGCTGGGGAGAACTGAGTTGATAGGGACCATAAGGCTGGGAAAGGATTAGGGAATGCCAGAATATGGGGAGGGGCACTGTGTAATTTTAAAGTGAGGGCCAAGGAAAGACATCACTAAGAAGGTGACATCCAAACAAAAATCTGAAGGTGAGGGAGTGAACCATGTGGTGTCTGAGGAAAAGCATCTGGGACAGAGGGAAGACAAAACACAAAGGTCTTGAATCAAGACTGTGCATGGAATTTCAGGAAAAGTGATGCCAGCAGAAAGAAGTGAGCAAACGGGCAAGAGATGAGGCACAGAGGTGGAGGGAGATGGGGGACAGAAGATAGAGGCCATCGGACCCTTCACCTTTCAGAGTGACATGGGAGTCACTTTTGAGCAGAGTGATATGATCTGACCTGTGTTTTAAGTCAGGATTCCTCTGGCCACTGTGTTGGAAAGACTGTAGGGTATAACTAGAGAAGAGCCTAGTTAGGAGGCTACTGCGGTGATCCAGATGAGGGAAATAACTGTGGCTTCATCCCAGAGGTGTCATGGGAGGGCTAGTGAGAAGTGGTCAGATTCTGACTATATCTGAAGCCAGAGCTGACAGAAGTGGCTGATTGATTTAATGTGGGCTATGGAGAAAGACAGGGCAAAGAGGATACCGAGGATTCTGGCCGAACACCCGAGAGGCTGAGATGAGGCGGGCTTGAAGGTGCAGGCTTGGGGCATTGGAGGATGAGGGGAAACTAGGAATTCAGCCTTGGACATGTTGCTTTGGAGGTGCCTATAAAACGTCTTCCCCAGTTCTAGCTATGAGAGACGCCTCTTCAAGTTACTTCACCTTCACCTCACATATACTAAACACTGACTCAAAGGCAGGTATTGTGTTTAGGAGGGTAGGGTCAGAGTCAGATGCCAGGTCTGTTTTATAGCTACTGTAAATTCTATGACCTTGGGGAGAAGCATTGTGCAAACTGGGGGAATTACTTCACCTTTCTTAGCCTCAGTTTTCTTCATCTGTAAATAGAGAGAATAACAACAAATACATCCCCAAGTAGCGGTGAATGAGCTAACACATATAAAGTGCTTAGAACCACAGCTGTACTACAGAGCAGTTGAAGAAATGTTAACTATGTATATTATGCTTCATCTCATTAAACGCTCAACATTCTTCTAGAATAAGCAGAAAATGAAGCGACTTGGGCAACATCCCATAGCTAGGCAGGAATGAAGAACTCTCCAGAAAGGAAAGACCAAGCTCATTCTTCTACACAACAGTGCCTCCCAGTGCCAAAAACAGTAATTCTCAACTTTGAACCTCAGGACAATGCTCAAGAAAGGTACATACACAACAGCAAGTTTGCAAACACTTTTAAACAAAACAAAATGGCAATATCCACTTTTTCCTGGCTTTCTGGACACCACCAAGGCTGTTTTCTTTAGGAGACAGATTTTTCAGGCAGTCAGGAAACCTTGGTTCTGGTCCTAACACGTAATAGTTGTGTGGCCTAGGGTAAATTATTCTCTGGGGTTGAACCTATCTCCTTTCAGTTCCAATATGTACGAATATATATATATATATAAAAATAAATTTTTTTTTTTTTTTTTTAGTTTTCTGAGTCGGAGTCTCGCTGTCATCCAGGCTGGAGCGCAGAGGTAGGCTCACAGCCACTGCAACCTCAACCTGCTAGGCTCAGGCAATCCTTCCACCTCAGCCTTCCAAATAGCTGGAACTACAGGCGAATGCCACCACGCCCGACTAATTGGCTTTTGTTTTTTTTTTTTTATTGTAGAGATGAGGTCTCACCAAGTTGCCCAGGCTGGTCTCGAACCCCTGGGCTCAGGCAATCCTCTTGCCTCTGCCTCCCAAAGTGCTGGGATTACAGGCATGAGCCACCGCACTCGGCATGATTCCACTTAAAAAAAATAAAATAAAATATTTGCAAACTTGCTTGAACTCTAAGCTAGCAAAACAGGCTGGTTAAGCATTACCTGGATCAAATAAAAATTTAAATTCTAAATGCAAAGAGGGTAGAATAATACCACATTCAGCAACTTCAAACTAAAGATTTGACTACCAGCAACATCTTAAAATGAGACTCTTTAACTGGGAAGGACTCGATCAGCAGGCAGACATCTAAAGCCTTGATGAAATTCCATGTTTGAAACTGTAATAAGAAAACAAAGCAAAATACTCTATAGGATAAACAAATGAGTCTTCCCTCAACAGGCAACTGTAGGCAGCAGCAGCAGCAACAAATCACTGTAGTGAGACAACAGAGATGCAGAACAGAGATGCCAATGTTTTTCCTGGTCTTGGCTTTAAAAATCATGCTTGTTTTTAGATTCATATTTGCTCAGTTGCTTATGCATTTAGCTCTGCACGATGTGTTCTTCATAAGCACCTACGGGCAAATTAGTTCAACTCTCGAGCTGAGGTGAGCTCCAGGGCCTCAGTCGCTGAGAACCGCAGCCGCCAGCCAGGGGGCGCGGGGCCGCGGGGGCGCCAGGGTCCCAGTGGGCACTGCCCGTGGACCACGTGGGCAAGGATTTGGGCAGGACGCGCTCCCGACTGCACGAGGCACGGGGGCCGGGGGTGGCCTCAAGCGCGCCCAGCCTCGGAGGCCCGAGGCGACAGGCCTCGCCTTAGCCTGGCGTCCAGGGGCTGCCCTGACCCTAGGCCTCCCCAGCTCCCCACTTACCAGCCGTTGACCTCATTTTGGGAGTTCACATCCACCCCGCTCTCCACCAGTTTCTGCACCTCCCGAATGTCCCCTAAGGCCGCGGCCTCCCGCAGCCTCTCCTGCTGCTCCTTCTGCTCTAGGAGGGCGCTCATCTTCCCCTCGGCCCCAGGCCCCGGCCCGCCCGCCTGCTCCACTCCGCCTGGGGCCCGT